CAAAAAAAAAAAAAAAAAAAAAAAAAAAAAAAAAAAAAAAAAAAAAAAAAAAAAAAAAAAAAAAAAAAAAAAAAAAAAAAAAAAAAAACCACAAAAAAAAATCTATCTAATGAGTTATAATATCCTCAGTCTCCATTTTGGTGTCTATTTTCTGTTTTAATTTTAAAAGTCCATTCGTGAGGCAGTCACCTATCACTGTCTACCAGGTAGGTCCATACCCACAGTTTGCAGTGACTCTCAGACAGACTTCACAGTTCCTTCTCCTCCTCCCTAGAGCAGTGAAAGCAGAGGTCCCGGTGGAGCACAGCATCTTGGTGGCCCCAGCTGTATGACTTCCTCCCACGGACGTCTGGTTCTGATTTTTTTTTTGTTTGTTTTGTTTTGTTTTTTTGCACTGGGACCTCTGTTTTAACAAATGGTTCTTACTTGAAGCTAGGTTGGATTTTTTTTTTCTCCCTTGACTCCAGATATTTTCCGTAGTAGTTACTATCATCATAGGTGTTTCACAGACAGGAATTCATATTCTTATATGTAAAACTAATATAACTTACAATGTGCATATGATCAATGAATAAATCTATAAAAGCTACCAGGAATGGCTCCCAGGCTGGGAGATGGCTGCACAACGTGAAGACCGGACTGGAGCTCAGATCCAGGACCTGGCACAAAGGCCGGCAGACCTGGCAGTGCTTGCAATCCCAGAACTGGGAGGCTGACGCAGTGGCTCCCTGGGGCAAGTTAGCTAGCTGGACTAGCCAGAATCGGTCAGCGTCCAGTTCAGCAAGGGACCCTGCCTCGGTTAAATAAAGTGGAGTGAGCCAGGAAGATGTTTGACCTCAACTTCCACCTGAACAGATAAGTACATGCACACACAGAGAAATACTCTCAACGAGAGTGTATTCACACACACACACACACACACACACACCACATACACGTGCAAAGAAGTAACTTCTCATTCTATAGTCTTGACACATAATGGACAATATTCTCGAGGCCCTGTTTTCATGCTCCTACCAGTGGGAAGGTGGAAGTGAGCCGTCTAACACAGGGGTCTTTCCTTGAAATGCCCCTGGCAGGCCCTGGGCACGCCTCCCCCCTCCCGGACCGCCTTGCTCAGCAACTAGCCCCTAAGCCTGACAGCATCCTTTCTCCTGTTCAGGTTTGGGAAGTTGCTCCTCCTGCTCCCGTCTTTGAGGTTCATCACTGCTGAGCGCATCGAGCTCCTCTTCTTCCGAAAGACCATAGGGAACACGCCAATGGAGAAGCTGCTTTGTGATATGTTCAAAAACTAGTGGGCGGGTGGGCTAAGTGTGTGCACCTGGGCGACACTCTTGGAGCTGAGTATTTCCTGTCTTTCTCACCCAGCAATGCCACATGTGGGGATTTGTACCTGGCAGGAACTTCTCCCAAAATACTTTATTGGGATAATCATAGCCGTCTTATTTGGAGCAGCCCTAGCTCTGTTTGCACAGCAGAATGCATGGATGTGTTGTGTTATATTCATAGGAAAAACTTAGAGGGATCAACAGTGGGTCCACGTGACAACAGAGGGAAATTTCGTCGGCTAGACGTTCAACAAAAGCCAGGCATGGGTAACTTTTATACAGGGTTCAAGACCAGGGAGGGAGAAGGGAAGGAAGGAAGACGGGAAAGAAGAGAAAATAAAGGAAACGAGAAAAGAAAAAGATGCAAATAAGACTGGAAGTGTGGTAAGAGAAGTCACCTCTGGGTGGGGTGGGAAGAGGGAAAATAGCCTCCTGCATTAGGGACGCCCCTTTGTTTTGATCTGAATGATAAACTGATTGTCATTAAAACTCATAGAGCACCTAAAATCTGTGCACTTTGATGTATTGTTTGACCCCAGTAAAAAATAAAACCAGAAAACTGCCTCCCAGGCTTTCTTCTTGTAGATGTGGAAGAGATGCGGACAAGATCTTTTTAAGTTTTGTCTGGTTTCATTCCAAACCAGAGTCTGGGTGCCACAAATCCAGGCTCTGGGCACTATTTCCCGCGGGATCCAAATAATACTTCCCTTCGTGTCTGAAGGAGACCCTGCACTGCAGGCTCTTCCTCCTGGATTAGGTACAAACCACACCCAAACACCCATTTTCACAGAGAGATCCTTTCTTAAGCAGGGAAGAAAAGTTAAAATGGAAAATGGCTGCTTTTTGGCTCAGGCAGAAACCGGCAGCAAATGACCCTGCAGGTGTGATTTTTTAAGGAGACAGATGACGAGGGAGAAGGGGGACGGGGACTAGGGAAAGGGAGAGGGATGTTTGTCCTGGAGGGACAAAGGACCTGCCTCTGCATAGAGAGGAGACACACGTGGCACACTGGCAAAAGGCAGTCTGTGAAGGTAAAGGGGAACCCCGTGTTAGGATGAGGTATTTCATTTTAATTGGACATGATAAACAGGTGAGCCAAAGGGGTGTGTGTGTGTGTGTGTGTGTGTGTGTGTGTGTGTGTGTGTGTGTGTGTGTGTGAACTCTTCATTATCATTCCTTAACCCCTCATGGAAAGGCCTGGCTCAGACAAACCCTCTTTTACAAAGAAAGACCCAAGCAAGTTAGTGAGACCTGGAAAATAATCATGAAAGTTAACATATAAAAGTTAACTGTGGTCCAGCCAACAGTACTTGATTAAAATGGCAGATGAAGCCCTGGGTTCAGTTCCCACCACCACCCAGACACACAGGATTTACATACGTCAGACAATGTGTAAAACAGGCAGTGATCTGGGTACCTAGGTTGGGTTGTCTCATCCTCACATAACTCCAAGGAGGCCCAGCTGTCACAGTTTCTAAATTAAAAAAAAAAAAAAAAAAAAAGCTGCACCACTCATCACCTGCTGCTTAATCAGCAGCTGCTTAGTTCTAATGTTGCCTCCTCTCTTCTCCCCTCCACTCTGGAATCGGCTAGAGCATTCTGTTGCATTTCCTGTCTTCAGAGCAGAAATGTAAGGGGCTGGAAGAAAAACAATACGTGAGAAGGCCATAAGAAGTCTAGGGGTTCCCTGGCCTTCGACCCTCTGCTCAGGAACCTGTGAAAGGAGGGTGGGGCCGTGGGCTGGGCCAAGAGAGCAGAGTTGGACCAATACTGGCCGGTGGAAGACCTCGGCACCAGAGGAGGCCAACTACTTGAGATTCTGGCCTCAAAAGTGTCAGCCTGGGGCCAGCAGGGTGGTTCAGTGGGGAAATGATAATTGTCACCAAGCTTGAACCTCAGTTTGATCTCTGGAGGACGGAGAAACCCCACAGACTTCCACATGCTCCCTGTTTCCCACCCCCACTCCCACCCCCAAATAAACAGAAAGTTAAAAGCATCAGTCTGGCCTGTTACTGGGTTTCCTGATGTCTGCGTTGTGGTTGCATTCTCTAGTGTCTCTAGTGGAGTTTATGCCTAGCCTCTTAAGGCCGGGGCAAAGATGCCTGATAAAAACGCGCACGTGGTTGCAATGGGCCGCGTCAGCCCAAACCGTTCCGTTTCCAAGCTGGCGTTTGGAAACACTAGCGTGCAAAGGTGACCCTGCTGAAGTTCTCTGGCAAAGAGCGCTGGGTTATTTCCAGGAGGAAGTGTTGGAGAATTCAAGGAGCTACCTTAGCTGAGTCATCTGCCCTCAGCTTGGTCTCAAAGCTCCTGCTCCTCCGAGGGCTTTCCCTTGTAGGTGTTTTGGTTTGGATCTTAAATGCCCCACGGGGTGTGTCAAGCGTGGGCACCAGCCTATGGCACTGTTGGGAGCCCATGCAACCTTTAAAAGGCGGGTCCTATCTGGAAAGGAGTTGGGACCCTGGCTCCTCCTCTAACCCGTGGTCCTCAGAGCACCGAACACCTGACCAGCTAGCTGCCTCTTCCTCTGCGAACTGAAAGCAAGGAGAGAGAGGATCGACCACGGATGAAACTGTGAGCCAAACTCTTTTTTTCTTATTCAAAAAAAAAAAAAAAAAAAGTCACTTTAAAGTGTGTGTACATCGTTCATTGGTGCAGGTGTCTGTAGAGCCTAGAGGTTTTAGATCCCAGGGAGCTGGAATTCCAGGCAGTTGTGAGCCGCCCAAAATGGGTGCTCAGAACAGAACTCGGTGTTCCATCACGCTAACATACCGCCGATGAGCACACGTGTGGACGGTAATGGCTTTCTTTAGGGTCCTTTCTGGAAGACATTTGGTTTGGCTTTCGCCGCCAGTACCAGAAGCATGCTCAGCTGTACAGGAGGACCACAGAAGGTTCTTGGGCTTACTCAGGCCTATTCTTTTCTTGAGAAACTGCTCTTTTCCGGCTCATATGATGCGTCTCCTCCATTCCCAAGTCAGGTATTTCAAGCATGAAGGGCTGGGAAAGACTTCAAAATGGCTAGAAAAACCAAAAGTAGTAACTAGAACCAGAGAGTGGAAGCTAGGCCTGCAACGTGCTGTCTGCCGCGCCTCGGGGACTTTGCCACTAGACTGCAAGCTCAGTATGGGGTCGGGGGACAGTATGGGGGTGCGTGGGGGACTTTGCTGTGTCCACTGTTCTGCTGCAAGCATTAGGGTGCTGGGGGCGGGTGATCCGGGTTTCCTTAAGAAATAACCACAGGAGCCTGAGGCCAGCCTCGGAGTCCTGGCTGCCCCCAAGATTCTCCAGGTACCACTGTGCCGAGCGGACTTTCATGGTGGTCCCTGGTTCATAGAGACCCTACTGCCGAGCAACCTCGAGCAACCTCGACCAAGAGTAATTAAAAGAAGAACCACCTGTGGTCTGCCTAGACCTTTCTCACGTCTTTCTGCTTGCAGGGCCTTGGAATCAGAAAGGGTTGGGACAAGTCTTAAAAATATGATTTCTTGGTTTTATTTGGCCAATTACAGACATTTTAAGAAACAACACTCACTCTTATTCTAGTGTAGAAAAAGGAAAGTCCATCTCAGAATTTTGAAGGCTGAGTGTATTTGGCATTGAAGGGAAATTTACTAATTTTTTTTTTCTGTTTCACCTTGAACCTGACTTCATCCCAGGCAGGCTTCTCATTCCGGATCTAAGCACCTACCTAGTCCAAGGCATCCAACCCAGGAAATCCTTCTCCTGGGAAGCCGACACCCCCTGAAATGATGATCTTAGTTCTGGCAGCTGTGAGAACTGGGGAAGGTAGGGCCAGCTGAAAGGGGCAGCGGACAATCTATCCTTAACAGGGAGAGTGGGGTTAGTAGATAGCAGAGGACTAATAAAAGTCCTGATAGGAAAATTGACACTCAGAGAGGGCAAATGACCCCCCCCCCCTTCCCACACACCTTGTCATACAATAGGGCGACAGAAACACAACTCAGGATTGAGTTGTTCCCATTGTGAAGTGTTACTTTGCCTTTGGGGGGGGGGGGGGGCGGGGGACTAAAAGCATCCCAGTCAGCTCTGCTATGTTGTAAGATGCCCTTCCAGAGGACCTGAGTTCAATTCCCAGCACCCACATGGCAGCTCACACATGTCTGTAACTCAGTTCCAACACCAATACACTTGAAATTAAATAAATAAAAAAGATGGCCACGTGATGGGAGAATGCTAACTTTGCATTAAATATGCACTTAGTGCTGGCATCGTTAGCGTCGGTGCTGCCAATTTCACTTGGGAAGAAGGAACGTCTGTTGAGGAATTGCCACCATTAGAATCACTTGTGCGCCTGTCTGTGTGGGTATTTACTAATGGCTGTAGGGTGGTGCTGCCCCCGGCAGGTGGGCCTAGGCTGGAAAAGACCCCCGAGTGAGTTGTTAAACCAGGTCCTCCGTGGTTTCTGCTTCGGCTCCTGCCTCGACTTTCCTCAGTGACAAAGAGCCCGCAGACTGCAAGCCGAAGCGAACCCTTTCCTCCCTGGTGTTGCTTTTGGCCCCGGCACAGAAACCAAGCTATAAACCCGACAGTTGTCTCCAGGGCCCCACCTGTCCTCACCCTCGCCTTCCTCTGCCGGTTTTATGGCCCCTGTAATCATCCACATACTTCCAGGGTGGCCTTTTCAGTTTCATCTTAGGAAAGATAACATTTCACGCTTATCTTTGTGCACCTGGTTTATTGTGCTTTATTCAGTCCACCTGCACCATCCTTTTTGCTACAAATGGCGAGATTTTAGTTTTCTTGGTTTTTTTTTTTTTTTTTTTTTTTTTTGCTTTTGCTTTGAGTTCTTTGGGGGGTGTTATTGTTTGTTGTTGTTGTTTTGTTTTGCTTTTGAGACAGGGTTTCTCTGTGTAACAGTCCTGGCTGTACTGGAACTCCCTTTGTAGACCAGGCTGGCTTCAAACTCCCAGAGATCCACCTGCCTCTCTGCCTCCCGAGTGCTGAGATTAAAGGCATTTACCACCACTTCCCCGGGGCAGTTTGCTGTCCTTCCAAATAAAATGCCATCGTGTATGTATATCCTATTTATTATTCACTTAACTGTGGTTAGCACTTAGACGGTTCGTATAGCTTGGTATTATAAACATGAGCATGCAGGCACCTCGCTGGAAACCCTTTGAATTTGACATACATTGAGACCCAAGCAACTTGTTATAATTTAGCAGTGTGTAAGCAAGCAAGATAATTCGTTTACTGGCAGTTACAAAGAAGGGACCAATCAATTTATTACCTATCATGAAAGGCAATCTTATAAGGAACCTTAAAGGAATCACAAATCTCAACTTTTATATATGAAAAAGACTCAGTTATACTTTAGATCTTT